TCCAGGAAATGTGCCTTGCGGTCTAGAAGGTTGTGACGCAAGCTGTGCTATCTGCGTGTCTACGAGCTTCATGTGTGCGTCCATCCCATCAAGTCTCCTCTCAAAGATGTCTTGCCTAGCTCTAATGCTCTGCACCTCGGTTTTCAGCTCAGTAAACGACGTCTTTTGGTCGAGCATTAGCTGGGCAAGCATCGTCTTGATGTCTACTTCTTCATTCTTTGCCGGTGGAGGAGCTCAGTAACCCTGATTCTGCTGCCCGTATCCTGGATTCTATTGCGCATATCCCTGATTCTGCCCCTGAAAACGTGACTGACTGAAGCACGGGGGGTTCTGAGGGATTCTGGAAACACCTTGTTGCTGCACAATGCTCCGCTCGGGTTTCCGTAGGAGAAACCAGGATGGTTCCTAGGCGCGTTCGGGTTGTAGAGATTGGAAGGATTCTGGTATTGATTCCTTCCCACGTAGTTGACGTCCTCAACCGGTTCTTCCTCTGATGTGGCCTGATCTACCAAGAACATTCCAGGCTGGACCTTCGACGGGTTAGACGTATTCTTGAGTCCCATGTGCTGCTTGATTGCTGATAGATCTGACATGACTGCTTTCAAGGCTGCGGAGTCGCCCAAATCTACCCGTCTCGTAGAGCGTCTGATGCTGTCTCCTGACATCCCTCTTGCTTTGGCCATCTTGGCGATCTGCATCTCTAGGGTGTCAAAGGGAATGTCGTATACACTCCCTCCACAAGCTGCATCCATCCATGCTCTAGTATCGTCTCTCAGTCCGTGGATGAACGTGGAAAGCAACAGCCGCTTATCCATGCCGTGGTGTGGACAAAGGCGTTGATAGCCTTTGAATCTCTCCCATGCGTCATACAGACTCTCATCACTCTCCTGAGTGAAGCTGTGTATGGCTCTCTGTGCAGCTCGGGTCTTCTCTGGAGAGTAGTATTTCGCCATGAATTGCTCCTCTAGCTCCTCCCATGTCGTGATCGAGTTCGGCTCAAGAGTGTAGAGCCAATCTCTTGCCCGGTCCATCAGTGAAAAAGGAAAGGCCTCCAAATATACATCCTCGATGGTCATTCCTCGTGCCTTCCTAACTGATCTGCACAGCATCTTGAACTGAGTCAAGTGAGCAATGAGATCCTCTGTAGGCCGCCCTCTGAAACTCGTCTGACTGAACATCGTGATGCACTGTGGCGGTAGCTCAAAGCTGTCAATGGGCGGACGATTTATGCATGATAGTAGTTGGGTGTGCTTCGGTGCAATGTATGAACCCAAAGTCTCCTCTGCAATGTAGGTAGCTTCGCCCTCAGTCTGCTGATCATAGAGCGGATTCATGTGCTCTTGATTCTCTTGATGCTCCTCATCATGAACCGCATGGTCGTGCGAACTACTTGACCTCGACATAGCCTCCCTTCTCTGCTGATTTCGGATGTCTCTTAAGGTACGCTCAATCTCTTGATCGTAGACAGGTCTTCTCTCCGAGTAGAGCTCTGTGTCATGCACTAAAATCCTGCAAATCACAAAGAAAAAGAAGAACTCGAAACCAAGTGAATCCGCAAAAACAAAAGAAAAAGAAAAAGAAAAAGAAAACAAGCTAAGATATAGAATCAATAAAGACCTAGAAATAGGCTAACCAGTCCCCGGCAACGGCGCCAAAAACTTGGTAGCTAAACTATCTGAGTTCGCAGAAACTGCGACAAGCCGTTCCTCTCGTGTCGAGTATAGCCGTGGATCTACTCACGGTTCATAGAAAACAACAAAAAGCTCATAAAGAAAGAGGTAAAAGAGAGGAAAGAAAATCTCATGCAGATGTGTAGTCTCCACGATCGAATCTTCCTTCTTCTTCCGAAATCCCGTGAACTTCTATTCTTTTCTCACCAAAAGCTCTCCAAAAATCTGTATCTAAGTGTTCTCTAAGGGTCTCTGATGTTCTAGGACGTGGCTAGGGCTTTTTTATAACCCTAGGGCGGCTCCCAAGAGTTCTATTCCCGATAGAACGCTGAAAATCGCGAAACAGGATTTTAGACTGGATCCGACCGATTCCAGGTGGATCCGACCGGATCCAGATTCCTGGGCTCGAGCTCGGCTGTCTTGATTCGGACCGGATCCAGTTGGATCCGGCCCTGCACTGGCAGTTTTCTGGTCTTCACAATTTCGCTCATATCTTTCTGCTCCGATGTCGGATTTATGCGATTTTAGTGTCTACGCGAAGCTCTTGAAGTTCTCTTTCTAATGGTACAAGTTTCGTATGATTTGGACTTCTGTAGAGAAAGTTATTGATATCGCAACATGAGTACCTCATCCGGACTTTTCCTTTAACGTTCCAAATGGCTCCTTTTCGAGTCCAATCATCTTCGAAACCTGTAATCTGCAAAACTAAAGCACAACCGGGTTTTTGTGTCCTAGCACGCCTAGAATGTCTATGAATGCATGTGATTATCCCGTAAAATCTAGACAAACTCTTATCAAAATATAGAGAAAAATAGGAGTTATCAGGCGAGAAGGTTTCGTCATAGTCAATACCATGAATTTGTCGAAATCCTTTCGCCACCAATCGTGCTTTATAGGTATGCACGTTGTCATCCATGTCGGTTTTCTTCTTGAAAATCCATTTGCATCCGATGGGTTTTATCCCATGGACGGTCTACGTTTAGTGTGGACCGTCCGTTCTATCATCATAGAATGGACGGTCTGCGTTTTGTCGTGGACCGTCTGTTCTAGCCTCGAGCCATTTCTCAGAGTCCGGGTTCGACACAGCTTCTGAATATGATGTGGGCTCATCGTGCTCCATGAGCACCAGTTCATCATTTTCAGTGACGATAAATCCATATCTATCGGGCTCGTGTCGGATCCTGCTCGATCTCCGAGTTTCATCAACGACAGACAAAGTCACAAGGGGTTGCGAGACAGGTTGAACCATTTCAAATATCTCGCTAGGTCCAGCTTCAATTTGTGGCTGTTGGATTTCTCCAAGATCAATCTTACTCCCACTAGTTTTCTTGGAAACGAATTCTCGTTCCAAGAAAGTCCCATGTCGAGCAACAAACACTTTGTTCTCAGTGGGGTTGTAGAAATAGTATCCCCTCGTTTCCTTGGGTAACGAACAAACAAGCATCTCTCACATTTGGGTCCTAACTTGTCGGAAAGTTGGCGTGTCATGTAAACATCATAACCCCAAATTCTGAGATAAGACATCTTGGGACTCTTCCCAACCCATATCTCATATGGTGTCTTCTGAACCGATTTCGAAGGACTTCTGTTCAGTATATAAGCAGCAGTCTCAAGAGCGTATCCCCAATAAGATATTGGAAGATCAGTCTGACTCATCATAGAGCGAACCATATCCAATAGGGTTCGGTTCCTCCGCTCAGAACCACT